AGAGTGTGTGAGGTACTGTGGGAGTGTGAGGTACTGTGGGAGAGTGTGAGGTACTGTGGGAGGTAGTGTGAGGTACTGTGGGAGAGTGTGAGGTACTGTGTGGTACTGTGGGAGTGTGAGGTACTGTGGGAGAGTGTGAGGTACTGTGGGAGAGTGTGAGGTACTGTGGGAGAGTGTGAGGTACTGTGGGAGGGTGTGAGGTACTGTGGGAGAGTGTGAGGTACTGTGGGAGAGTGTGAGGTACTGTGTGGGAGGTACGGTGGGAGTGTGAGGTACTGTGGGAGAGTGTGAGGTACTGTGGGAGAGTGTGAGGTACTGTGGGAGAGTGTGAGGTACTGTGGGAGAGTGTGAGGTACTGTGGGAGAGTGTGAGGTACTGTGGGGAGAGTGTGAGGTACTGTGGGAGAGTGTGAGGTACTGTGGGAGAGTGTGAGGTACTGTGGGAGGGTGTGAGGTACTGTGGGAGAGTGTGAGGTACTGTGGGAGAGTGTGAGGTACTGTGGGAGAGTGTGAGGTACTGTGGGAGAGTGTGAGGTACTGTGGGAGAGTGTGAGGTACTGTGGGAGAGTGTGAGGTACTGTGGGAGAGTGTGAGGTACTGTGGGAGAGTGTGAGGTACTGTGGGAGAGGTACTGTGAGGTACTGTGGGAGAGTGTGGAGGTACTGTGTGGGAGGTACTGTGGGAGAGTGTGAGGTACTGGGGAGAGTGTGAGGTACTGTGGGAGGGTGTGAGGTACTGTGGGAGAGTGTGAGGTACTGTGGGAGAGTGTGAGGTACTGTGGGAGAGTGTGAGGTACTGTGGAGATTGAGAGGTACTGTGGGAGAGTGTGAGGTACTGTGGGAGAGTGTGAGGTACTGTGGGAGAGTGTGAGGTACTGTGGGAGAGTGAGGTACTGTGGGAGAGTGTGAGGTACTGTGGGAGAGTGTGAGGTACTGTGGGAGAGTGTGAGGGGAGAGTGTGAGGTACTGTGGGAGAGTGTGAGGTACTGTGGGAGAGTGTGAGGTACTGTGGGAGGGTGTGAGGTACTGTGGGAGAGTGTGAGGTACTGTGGGAGAGTGTGAGGTACTGTGGGAGAGTGTGAGGTACTGTGGGGAGAGTGTGGTGTGGTACTGTGGGAGGGTGTGAGGTACTGTGGGAGAGTGTGAGGTACTGTGGGAGAGTGTGAGGTACTGTGGGAGGGTGTGAGGTACTGTGGGAGAGTGTGAGGTACTGTGGGAGAGGTACTGTGAGGTACTGTGGGAGAGTGTGAGGTACTGTGGGAGAGTGTGAGGTACTGTGGGAGAGTGTGAGGTACTGTGGGAGAGTGGTGTGAGGTAGGTACTGTGTGAGGAGAGTGTGAGGTACTGTGGGAGAGTGTGAGGTACTGTGGGAGAGTGTGAGGTACTGTGGGAGAGTGTGAGGTACTGTGGGAGAGTGTGAGGTACTGTGGGAGAGTGTGAGGTACTGTGGGAGAGTGTGAGGTACTGTGGGAGGGTGTGAGGTACTGTGGGAGAGTGTGAGGTACTGTGGGAGAGTGTGAGGTACTGTGGGAGAGTGTGAGGTACTGTGGGAGAGTGTGAGGTACTGTGGGAGAGTGTGAGGTACTGTGGGAGAGTGTGAGGTACTGTGGGAGAGTGTGAGGTACTGTGGGAGAGTGTGAGGTACTGTGGGAGAGAGGTGTGAGGTACTGTGGGAGAGTGTGAGGTACTGTGGGAGAGTGTGAGGTACTGTGGGAGAGTGTGAGGTACTGTGGGAGGGTGTGAGGTACTGTGGGAGAGTGTGAGGTACTGTGGGAGAGTGTGAGGTACTGTGGGAGAGTGTGAGGTACTGTGGGAGGGTGTGAGGTACTGTGGGAGAGTGTGAGGTACTGTGGGAGAGTGTGAGGTACTGTGGGAGAGGGAGTACTGTGGGTGTGTGAGGTACTGTGGGAGGTAGTGTGAGGTACTGTGGGAGAGTGTGAGGTACTGTGGGAGAGTGTGAGGTACTGTGGGAGAGTGTGAGGTACTGTGGGAGAGTGTGAGGTACTGTGGGAGAGTGTGAGGTACTGTGGGAGAGTGTGAGGTACTGTGGGAGAGTGTGAGGTACTGTGGGAGAGTGTGAGGTACTGTGGGAGGGTGGAAGGTACTGTGGGAGAGTGTGAGGTACTGTGTGAGGACTGTGGGAGAGTGTGAGGTACTGTGGGAGAGTGTGAGGTACTGTGGGAGAGGTGTGAGGTACTGTGGGAGAGTGTGAGGTACTGTGGGAGAGTGGAGGTACTGTGGGAGAGTGTGAGGTACTGAGGTACTGTGTCTCCCGAGGTACTGTGTGAGGTACTGTGGGAGAGTGTGAGGTACTGTGGGAGGGTGTGAGGTACTGTGGGAGAGTGTGAGGTACTGTGGGAGAGTGTGAGGTACTGTGGGAGAGTGTGAGGAGGTACTGTGGGAGAGTGTGAGGTACTGTGGGAGAGAGTGTGGGAGGTACTGTGGGAGAGTGTGAGGTACTGTGGGAGAGTGTGAGGTACTGTGGGAGAGTGTGAGGTACTGTGGGAGAGTGTGAGGTACTGTGGGAGAGTGTGGGTGTGAGGTACTGTGTGGAGGTACTGTGAGAGTGTGAGGTACTGTGGGAGAGTGTGAGGTACTGTGGGAGAGTGTGAGGTACTGTGGGAGAGTGTGAGGTACTGTGGAGGGTGTGAGTGTGAGGTACTGTGGGAGAGTGTGAGGTACTGTGGGAGAGTGTGAGGTACTGTGGGAGAGTGTGAGGTACTGTGGGAGAGTGTGAGGTACTGTGGGAGAGTGTGAGGTACTGTGGGAGAGTGTGAGGTACTGTGGGAGAGTGTGAGGTACTGTGGGAGAGTGTGAGGTACTGTGGGAGAGGTACTGTGGAGAGGTACTGTGGGAGAGTGTGAGGTACTGTGGGAGAGGTGTGAGTGTGAGGTACTGTGGGAGAGTGTGAGGTACTGTGGGAGAGTGTGAGGTACTGTGGGAGAGTGTGAGGTACTGTGGGAGAGTGTGAGGTACTGTGGGAGGTACTGTGTGAGGTACTGTGGGAGAGTGTGAGGTACTGTGGGAGAGTGTGAGGTACTGTGGGAGAGTGTGAGGTACTGTGGGAGAGGTGTGAGGTACTGTGGGAGAGTGTGAGGTACTGTGGGAGAGTGTGAGGTACTGTGGGAGAGTGTGAGGTACTGTGGGAGAGTGTGAGGTACTGTGGGAGAGTGTGAGGTACTGTGGGAGAGTGTGAGGTACTGTGGGAGAGTGTGAGGTACTGTGGGGGTGGGAGGTACTGTGGGAGAGTGTGAGGTACTGTGGGAGTGTGAGGTACTGTGGGAGAGTGTGAGGGTGTGAGGTACTGAGGTGGGAGAGTGTGAGGTACTGTGGGAGAGAGGTACTGTGGGAGAGTGTGAGGTACTGTGGGAGGTACTGTGGGAGGTGAGGTACTGTGGGAGAGTGTGAGGTACTGTGGGAGAGTGTGAGGTACTGTGGGAGAGTGTGAGGTACTGTGGGAGGGTGTGAGGTACTGTGGGAGAGTGTGAGGTACTGTGGGAGAGTGTGAGGTACTGTGGGAGAGTGTGAGGTACTGTGGGAGAGTGTGAGGTACTGTGGGAGAGTGTGAGGTACTGTGGGAGAGTGTGAGGTACTGTGGGAGAGTGTGAGGTACTGTGGGAGGGTGTGAGGTACTGTGGGAGAGTGTGAGGTACTGTGGGAGAGTGTGAGGTACTGTGGGAGGTACTGTGTGTGAGGTACTGTGGGAGAGGGTGTGAGGTACTGTGGGAGGGAGTGTGAGGTACTGTGGGAGAGTGTGAGGTACTGTGTGGAGGTGTGAGGTACTGTGGGAGGGTGTGAGGTACTGTGGGAGGGTGTGAGGTACTGAGAGTGTGAGGTACTGTGGGAGTGTGAGTACTGTGGGAGGTACTGTGTGGGAGAGTGTGAGGTACTGTGGAGAGTGTGAGGTGTGAGGTACTGTGGGAGAGTGTGAGGTACTGTGGGAGGGTGTGAGGTACTGTGGGAGGGTGTGAGGTACTGTGGGAGAGTGTGAGGTACTGTGGGAGGGTGTGAGGTACTGTGGGAGAGTGTGAGGTACTGTGGGAGAGTGTGAGGTACTGTGGGAGAGTGTGAGGTACTGTGGGAGAGTGTGAGGTACTGTGGGAGGGTGTGAGGTACTGTGGGAGAGTGTGAGGTACTGTGGGAGAGTGTGAGGTACTGTGGGAGAGTGTGAGGTACTGTGGGAGAGTGTGAGGTACTGTGGGAGAGTGTGAGGTACTGTGGGAGGGTGTGAGGTACTTTGGGAGGACTGTGTGAGTGTGAGGTACTGTGGGAGAGTGTGAGGTACTGTGGGAGAGTGTGAGGTACTGTGGGAGGGTGTGAGGTACTGTGGGAGAGTGTGAGGTACTGTGGGAGAGTGTGAGGTACTGTGGGAGAGTGTGAGGTACTGTGGGAGAGGTGTGGGAGAGGGGAGGTGTGGGAGGGTGTGAGGTACTGTGGGAGAGTGTGAGGTACTGTGGGAGAGTGTGAGTACTGTGGGAGAGTGTGAGGTACTGTGGGAGGGTGGGGTACTGTGGGAGGTGTGAGGTACTGTGGGAGAGTGTGAGGTACTGTGGGAGAGTGTGAGGTACTGTGGGAGGGTGGAGGGTGTGAGGTACTGTGGGAGGGGTGAGGTACTGTGGGAGGGTGAGAGGTACTGGGAGAGTGTGAGGTACTGTGGGAGAGTGTGAGGTACTGTGGGATAGTGTGAGGTACTGTGGGGGTGTGAGGTACTTGGGAGTGTGAGGTGGGAGGGTGTGAGGTACTTGTGGCTTGGGAGAGTGTGACTACCACTGTGGGAGTGTGGGTGATTGAGGGTGGGAAGTACTTTGCTTGGAGTATACATGAGTGTGGGTGTGTGTGTATACATGAGTATGTATGTGTGTGTGTGTATGGATGTATAAGCGACTAAATCTCTAAATAACCCCATACACGCTGCAACATTGCAGGTGAAGAGACATAATCTGTATTGATTGTATATTCATCAATTGTTATAGAAACATATTTATGGTGTTATCTTTTCCAGACAAGAATATGGACGACCCGTTCTACCAGCTGGAGGCCTCTGACAATGGTGAGTATGTTGGCTCACCTGTGTCTAGGCCACCCTAGCTCACCTGTGTCCTAGGTCCCTAGCCCTAGCTCACCTAGCTCACCTGTGTCCTAGCTCACCCTAGCTCACCTGTGTCCTAGCTCTAGCTCCCTAGCTCACCTGTGTCCTAGCTCACCCTAGCTCACCTGTGTCCTAGCTCACCCTAGCTCACCTGTGTCCTAGCTCACCCTAGCTCACCTGTGTCACCCTAGCTCACCTGTGTCCTCACCCTAGCTCACCTGTGTGTCCTAGCTCACCCTGGCTCACCTGTGTCCTAGCTCACTCTAGCTCACCTGTGTCCTAGCTCACCCTAGCTCACCTGTGTCCTAGCTCACCCTGGCTCACCTGTGTCCTAGCTGAACCTGGCTTACCTGTGTCCTAGCTCAATCTAGCTCACCTGTGTCCTAGCTCACCCTAGCTCACCTGTGTCCTAGCTCACCCTGGCTCACCTGTGTCCTAGCTCACCCTAGCTCACCTGTGTCCTAGCTCACCCTAGCTCACCTGTGTCCTAGCTCACCCTAGCTCACCTGTGTCCTAGCTCACCCTAGCTCACCTGTGTCCTAGCTCACCCCTAGCTCACCTGTGTCCTAGCTCACCCTAGCTCACCTGTGTCCTAGCTCACCCTAGCTCACCTGTCACCCTAGCTCACCTGTGTCCTAGCTCACCTAGCTCACCTGTGCTCACCCTGTGTCCTAGCTCACCCTAGCTCACCTGTGTCCTAGCTCACCCTAGCTCACCTGTGTCCTAGCTCACCCTGGCTCACCCTGTGTGCTCACCTGTGTCCTAGCTCACCCTAGCTCACCTGTGTCCTAGCTCACCCTAGCTCACCTGTGTCCTAGCTCACCCTAGCTCACCTGTGTCCTAGCTCACCCTAGCTCACCTGTGTCCTAGCTCACCCTAGCTCACCTGTGTCCTAGCTCACCCTAGCTCACCCTGGCTCACCCTAGCTCACCTGTGTCCTAGCTCACCCTAGCTCACCCGTGTCCTAGTTCACACTAGCTCAACTGTGTCCTAGCTCACCCTGTGCTCACCTGTGTCCTAGCTCACCCTGGCTCACCTGTGTGTCCTAGCTCACCTGTGTCCTAGCTCACCTAGCTCACCTGTGTCCTAGCTCACCCTAGCTCACCTGTGTCCTAGCTCACCCTAGCTCACCTGTGTCTAGCTCACCGTGTCCTAGCTCACCTGTGTCCTAGCTCACCCTAGCTCACCTGTCCTAGCTCACCCTGTCCTAGCTCACCTAGCTCACTCTAGCTCACCTGTGTCCTAGCTCACCCTAGCTCACCTGTGTAGTCACCCTAGCTCAGCTCACCTGTGTCCTAGCTCACCCTAGCTCACCTGTGTGCTCACCCTAGCTCACCTGTGTCCTAGCTCACCTGTGTCCTAGCTCACCCTAGCTCACCTGTGTCCTAGCTCACCCTAGCTCACCTGTGTCCTAGCTCACCCTAGCTCACCTGTGTCCTAGCTCACCCTAGCTCACCTGTGTCCTAGCTCACCCTGGCTCACCTGTGTCCTAGCTCACCCTAGCTCACCTGTGTCCTAGCTCACACCTGTGTCCTAGCTCACCCTGGCTCACCTGTGTCACCTGTGTCCTAGCTCACCCTGGCTCACCTGTGTCCTAGCTCACCCTAGCTCACCTGTGTCCTAGCTCACCCTAGCTCACCTGTGTCCTAGCTCACCCTAGCTCACCTGTGTCCTAGCTCACCCTGGCTCATCTGTGTCCTAGCTCACCTGTGTCCTAGCTCACCCTGGCTCACCTGTGTCCTAGCTCACTCACCTGTGTCCTAGCTCACCCTGGCTCACCTGTGTCCTAGCTCACCCTAGCTCACCTGTGTCCTAGCTCACCCTGGCTCACCTGTGTCCTAGCTCACCTGTGTCCTAGCTCTTCCTAGCTCACCCTAGCTCACCTGTGTCCTAGCTCACCCTGGCTCACCTGTGTCCTAGCTCACCCTAGCTCACCTGTGTCCTAGCTCACCTGTGTCCTAGCTCACCCTAGCTCACCTGTGTCCTAGCTCACCCTTGCTCACCTGTGTCCCTAGCTCACCCCTAGCTCACCCTCACCTGTGTCCTAGCTCACCTAGCTAGCTCACCTCACCTGTGTCCTAGCTCCTAGCTCACCTGTGTCCTAGCTCACCCTGGCTCACCTGTGTCCTAGCTCACCCTGGCTCACCTGTGTCCTCTCACCCTGGCTCACCTGTGTCCTAGCTCACTCACCTGTGTCCTAGCTCACCCTGTGTCCTAGCTCACCCTAGCTAGCTCCTGTGTCCTAGCTCACCCTAGCTCACCTGTCCTAGCTCACCCTAGCTCACCTGTGTCCTAGCTCACCCTAGCTCACCTGTGTCCTAGCTCACCTAGCTCACCTGTGTCCTAGCTCACCCTAGCTCACCTGTGTCCTAGCTCACCCTAGCTCACCTGTGTCCTAGCTCACCCTGGCTCACCTGTGTCCTAGCTCACCTGTGTCCTAGCTCACCTGTGTCCTAGCTCACCCTGGCTCACCTGTGTCCTAGCTCACCTGTACCCTAGCTCACCCTAGCTCACCTGTGTCCTAGCTCACCCTAGCTCACCTGTGTCCTAGCTCACCTGTGTCCTAGCTCACCTGTGTCCTAGCTCACCCTAGCTCACCTGTGTCCTAGCTCACCCTGGCTCACCTGTGTCCTAGCTCTAGCTCACCTGTGTCCTAGCTCACCTGTGTCCTAGCTCACCCTAGCTCACCTGTGTCCTAGCTCACCCTAGCTCACCTGTGTCCTAGCTCACCCTAGCTCACCTGTGTCCTAGCTCACCTGTGTCCTAGCTCACCCTGGCTCACCTGTGTCCTAGCTCACCCTAGCTCACCTGTGTCCTAGCTCACCCCTTGCTCACCTGTGTCCCTCACCCTCTCCCTGTGTCCTAGCTCACCCTAGCTCACCTGTGTCCTAGCTCACCCTAGCTCACCTGTGTCCTAGCTCACCCTAGCTCACCTGTGTCCTAGCTCACCCTGGCTCACCTGTGTCCTAGCTCACCCTGGCTCACCTGTGTCCTAGCTCACCTAGCTCACCTGTGTCCTAGCTCACCTGTGTCCTAGCTCACCTGTGTCCTAGCTCACCCTGCTCACCTGTGTCCTAGCTCACCCTAGCTCACCTGTGTCCTAGCTCACCTGTGTCCTAGCTCACCCTGGCTCACCTGTGTCCTAGCTCACCCTAGCTCACCTGTGTCCCTAGCTCACCTGTGTCCTAGCTCACCTGTGTCCTAGCTCACCCTGGCTCACCTGTGTCCTAGCTCACCCTGGCTCACCTGTGTCCTAGCTCACCTGTGTCCTAGCTCACCCTAGCTCACCTGTGTCCTAGCTCACCCTAGCTCACCTGTGTCCTAGCTGTCCTAGCTCACCTGTGTCCTAGCTCACCCTAGCTCACCTGTGTCCTAGCTCACCCTAGCTCACCTGTGTCCTAGCTCACCCTAGCTCACCTGTGTCCTAGCTCCTAGCTCACCCTAGCTCACCTGTGTCCTAGCTCACCCTAGCTCACCTGTGTCCTAGCTCACCTGTGTCTAGCTCACCTGTGCTCACCTGTGTCCTAGCTCACCCTAGCTCACCCTAGCTCACCTGTGTCCTAGCTCACCTGTGTCCTAGCTCACCCTAGCTCACCTGTGTCCTAGCTCACCCTAGCTCACCCTAGCTCACCTGTGTCCTAGCTCACCCTAGCTCACCTGTGTCCTAGCTCACCCTAGCTCACCTGTGTCCTAGCTCACCCTAGCCTACCTGTGTCCTAGCTCACCCTAGCTCACCTGTGTCCTAGCTCACCCTAGCTCACCCGTGTCCTAGCTCACCCTAGCTCACCTGTGTCCTAGCTCAGCTCACCTGTGTCCTAGCTCACCCTAGCTCACCTGTGTCCTAGCTCACCCTAGCTCACCTGTGTGCTCACCCTAGCTCACCTGTGTCCTAGCTCACCCTCACCCTGGCTCACCTGTGTCCTAGCTCACCCTAGCTCACCTGTGTCCTAGCTCACCCTAGCTCACCTGTGTCCTAGCTCACCCTCACCTGTGTCCTAGCTCACCCTAGCTCACCTGTGTCCTAGCTCACTGTGTCCTAGCTCAGCTCACCTGTGTCCTAGCTCACCCTAGCTCACCTGTGTCCTAGCTCACCCTAGCTCACCTGTGTCCTAGTGTCCTGTCACCCTAGCTCACCTGTGTCCTAGCTCACCCTGGCTCACCTGTGTAGCTCACCCTAGCTCACCTGTGTCCTAGCTCACCTGTGTCCTAGCTCTCACCTGTGTCCTAGCTCACCCTAGCTCACCTGTGTCCTAGCTCACCCTAGCTCCTGTGTCACCCTAGCTCACCTGTGTCCCTCACCTGTGTCCTAGCTCACCCCTCACCTGTGTCCTAGCTCACCCTAGCTCACCTGTGTCCTAGCTCACCTGTGTCCTAGCTCACCTGTGTCCTAGCTCACCTGTGTCCTAGCTCACCTGTGTCCTCACCCTAGCTCACCTGTGTCCTAGCTCACCCTAGCTCACCTGTGTCCTAGCTCACCCTAGCTCACCTGTGTCCTAGCTCACCCTAGCTCACCTGTGTCCTAGCTCACCTGTCCTAGCTCACCCTAGCTCACCTGTGTCCTAGCTCCTAGCTCACCTGTGTCCTAGCTCACCCTGTGTCCTAGCTCACCCTAGCTCACCCTAGCTCACCTGTGTCCTAGCTCACCCTAGCTCACCTGTGTCCTAGTCACCCTAGCTCACCTGTGTCCTAGCTCTACCTGTGTCCTAGCTCACCTGTGTCCTAGCTCACCTGTGTCCCCTAGCTCACCTCCTAGCTCACCCCTACCTGTGTCCTAGCTCACCCTAGCTCACCTGTGTCCTAGCTCACCTGTGTCCTAGCTCACCCTAGCTCACCTGTGTCCTAGCTCACCTGTGTCCTAGCTCACCCTAGCTCACCTGTGTCCTAGCTCACCCTAGCTCACCTGTGTCCTAGCTCACCCTAGCTCACCTGTGTCCTAGCTCACCCTAGCTCACCTGTGTCCTAGCTCACCCTAGCTCACCTGTGTCCTAGCTCACCCTGGCTCACCTGTGTCCTAGCTCACCCTAGCTCACCTGTGTCCTAGCTCACCTGTGTCCTAGCTCACCCTAGCTCACCTGTGTCCTAGCTCACCCTAGCTCACCTGTGTCCTAGCTCACCCTAGCTCACCTGTGTCCTAGCTCACCCTAGCTCACCTGTGTCCTAGCTCATCTGTGTACGTGCTCAACCTAGCTCACCTCTGTCTTAGCTCACCCTAGCTCACCTGTGTCCTAGCTCACCCTCACCTGTGTCCTAGCTCAGCTCACCTGTGTCCTAGCTCACCCTAGCTCACCTGTGTCCTAGCTCACCCTAGCTCACCTGTGTCCTAGCTCACCCTAGCTCACATGTGTCCTAGCTCACCCTAGCTCACATGTGTCTTAGCTCACCTGTGCCCTAGCTCACCCTAGCTCACCTGTGTCCTAGATCACCCTGGCTCACCTGTGTCCTAGCTCACCCTAGCTCACCTGTGTCCTAGATCACCCTGGCTCACCTGTGTCCTAGCTCATCTGTGTCCCAGCTCACCCTAGTCCTAGCTCACCCTATCTCACCTGTGTCCTAGCTCTCCTGTGTCCTAGCTCACCTGTGTCCTAGCTAATCTATGGCTCAGCTCACCTGTGTGTGTGTGTGTGCTCACCTATTTATACTCACCTATTTGTGCTTGCAGGATCGAGCATTGACTCTTGGATCCCGCTTTTCCAGCCATCGGTTGTTTACTGCAATGAGTCCTGTCCCATTTGTCCAAGCTATCTGCCTGTGATCTAGCTGACTATCTCACCTGTATCCTAGCTCTTTGTGTGGTGTGTGAATGACTCACCTGTACTCCCATTTGTGTGTGTGTGTGTGTGTGTGTGTGTGTGTGTGTGTGTGTGTGTGTGTGTGTGTGTGTGTGTGTGTGTGTGTGTGTGTGTGTGTGTGTGTGTACTCACCTAGTTGTGCTTGCGGGGGTTGAGCTCTGGCTCTTTGGTCCCGCCTCTCTACCGTCAATCAACTGGTGTACAGATTCCTGAGCCTACTGGGATCTGTCATATCTAGATTTGAAACTGTGTATGGAGTCAGCCTCCACCACATCACTGCCTAATGCATTCCACCTGTTAACTACTCTAACACTGAAAAAGTTCTTTATGACGTCCCTGTGGCTCATTTGGGTACTCAGTCTCCACCTGTGTCCCCTTGTTCGCGTACCACCAGTGTTAAACATGTCAATTCCTCTGATAATTTTGTAGGTAGTGATCATGTCTCCCCTTACTTTTCTGTCTTCCAGTGTCGTGAGGTGCACTTCTGATAATTTTGTAGGTAGTGATCATGTCTCCCCTTACTTTTCTGTCTTCCAGTGTCGTGAGGTGCACTTTACGCAGCCTTTCCTCGTAACTCGTGCCTCTTAGTTCTGGAACTAGTCTAGTGGCATACCTCTGAACTTTTTCCAGCTTCGTCTTGTGCTTGACAAGGTACGGGCTCCATGCTGGGGCCGCATTCTCCAGGATTGGTCTTACATATGTGGTATACAAGGTTCTGAATTATTCCTTACACAGGTTCCTGAAGGCTGTTCTGATGTTAGCCAGTCTTGCAAACGCCGCAGATGTAATTCTTTTTATGTGGGCTTCAGGAGACAGGTTTGGTGTGATATCAACTCTTAGATCTTTCTCTCTGTCCGATTCATGAAGTACTTCATCTCCTATTCTGTATCCTGTGTCTGACCTGTTTCCACCGCCTAGTTTCATTACTTACATTTACTGGGGTTGAACTTTAATAGCTATTTGTTGGACCATTCATTCAGTCTGTCTAGGTCTTCTTGTAGCCTCATACTGTCTTCCTCTGTTTTAATCCTCCTCATAATTTTTGCATCATCAGCAAACAATGAGAGGAACGATTCTATACCCTCTGGGAGATCATTTACATATATCAGAAACAGTATAGGTCCAAGGACTGAACCCTGCGGGACTCCACTTGTAACGTCTCGCCAATCTTAGACTTCACCTCTCACAGTGACTCGCTGTCTTCTATTGCTTAGGTACTCTCTTATCCAATGGAGTACCTTCCATTTCACTCCAGCCTGCATCTCCAGCTTTTGCTCTAGCCTCGTGTGTGGTACTGTGTCAAAGGCTTTCTGGCAATCCAAAAATATGCAGTTTGCTCACCCCTCTCTTTCTTGCCTGAGTTTTGTTGCCTGGTCGTAGAATTCAGTTAATCCTGTGAGGTAGGACTTGCCATCCCTGAACCCATGTTGATGCTGTGTTACGAAGTTCTTCCACTCCAGATGTTCCACTAGCTTTTTTCGCACAATCTTCTCCATCAGCTTGCATGGTATGCAAGTTAGGAACACTGGCCTGTAGTTCAGTGCCTCTTGTCTATCCCCCTGCTTGTATATCGGGACTACATTAGCCGTCTTCCAAATTTTTGGCAGTTTCCCTGTTGCCAGTGATTTGTTATACACTATGGAGAGTGGTAGGCACAGTGCTTCTGCTCTTTCCTTCAGTATCTATGGGGAGATTCCATCTGGGCCTATAGCCTTTGTCACATCCAACTCTAGCAAAAGCTTTCTTACATCCCCACTGGTAATCTCAAACTCTTCTAGTGGTGCCTGATTAATTATTCCCTCTACACAACTCCACGGCCCTTGTGGATTTGTTCTATTCCCTCTATTATCTCTGGAACTCCTCATTGCTCTAAGGTGAAAACCTCCTGGAATTTCTTATTCAGTTCCTCGCACACTTCCTTGTCGTTTGTAGTGAATCTGTCTGCCCCTATCCTCAATGTCATTACCTGTTCCTTTACTGTTGTTTTTCTCCTGATGTGACTGTGCAGCAATTTAGGTCGAGTCTTTGCCTTGTTTGCGATATCATTTTCGTATTACCCTTCTGCCTCTCTTCTCAACCTGACAATCATTTCTAGCACTCTGGTATTTCTCTGCTCTCAAGAGTCCTGTTATTTCTATAGTTTCTCCACGCCCTTTTACTTTGCCGCTAAGCTAGCCTACATCTCTGGTTAAACCATGGGTTTCTCATCTGCATTTCGTTGCTTTCCTTTTGGACCGGGACAAACTTGTCTGCTGCCTCCTAACACTTCTGCGTGATGTAGTCCATCATGTCTTGGGCCGTGTTTCCCCTGAACTCTGTTTCCCATGTTATATCTGTTAGGAATTTTCTTATCTCCTCATAATTTCCCTTTCGGAATGCCAGAGGTTCCCTGACATGCTGGCTTAAGAAGTTTCTTGTCTCTACCTCCAATAGTTTAGCTCTCCATGTATCCTCACCTCCATGCAGTTCCTCGTTCTCCCAGTCGATCCTTCCCTGATTGAAGTCCTGTACGATGAGCAGATGGGATCTATTTCTACAAGCAACAGGGGCTGCCCCCTCAATTATAGTGTTATCTGTCATGTTGTTGTTGTTATACTCTTGCACGGATCTTCTGTCATTTGGTGGAGGGTTATATATCACTGCTACTACTATTCATGGTCCTCCCATCGTCTTGGTGCCTGTTATGTAGTCTCTGAATCCCTTGCAGCCCGGGATAACCATCTCCTTGAAACTCCATTCCTTTCTTATTTGTAGGGCCACTCTGCCTCCTCCCCTTCCATCCCTCTCATTCCTTATTACAGTGTAGTCCTGGGGTAGCATAACATTCATTATGATTCCTGAGAGTTTTGTTTCTGTGAGTCCGATTACATCTGGGTTCACTTCTTGTGCTCTTTCCTTTAGTTCACTTGCCTTGCTTGTAATCCCATCTATAATCAAGTACATCACCTTAAAACTGACTCTCTTCTGCCCTGCCTCAGTTTGTGTTGATTCCCCTGAAGCAGGAAAACAGGGAGGGACCGGGATGGGAGGGCCTAGGAAGGGGGACCTAGGGGATCTGGGATGTGAGGGTGCTGGGAGGATCTGGCATGGGGAAGGTGGTGGAGGAGGAAGGGCTTGGGGGTGGGGGAGAAGAGAGGGCTTTTGGGAAAAGGAAGAGCTAGGGGGTGGGGAAGAAGGGAGGGCTTGGGGGGGGGGAGATGGGAGGTCCTGGAGAGAGGGGGTGGGGGGAGGGTGCCCTAGATGGGCACTTAGTGGGGTGATGGCAAGGGTTGGGGCAGGTAGGACGTCTATTGGGTGGAAGGTGCAAGTGGTGCTCCTCTCACTGTGTCTGTTGAACTGCTTGTGGAGGGTTTCCCACTCTCCTATGGGATTGTAGGGTTCGGGGTTGTGTTTCCCTGATTCCTTTCTTTCTCCCTGCGCTCCTTCCTCGCGGCTGCTGCCCTCATTCACCTTGTCTTATCCCTCGGCAGGAATACTTTTTTGAACTTCAGTACATTTACTAGTCCACTCTTCCTTGCTAACAGGTCCTCTTTTGTGTTCTCGCTCGTGAACCAATGAGAATCACATTTACATGTTTGAGCGCGTCAGTGTGCGTGTGTGTGCATGTGTGTGTGTGTGTGTTTGTGAGTGTGCTTATGTTGTACACAGCGAGTCATGAGTGTATGTGATCCCTGAGGTAATCTTACTCCGCAAAGCCCGATCCGCTCTGATTTAACTCTTCGTTTAAGGAGTCCAGCCGATATTGTCAATCTAACTGAATGTTTGGTTATGGCGTAAAAATTTGAGTCTGTCCTCATTATATCATTTAGTTAATGAGGTATGTTTGATAAATATTTGCATACAACAAATCCATTTATTTAAAATCAAGAAATTATTAAATATATCAATCACATTCATCACTAAAGGTAAACTCCGTGCTCCGTGATAATTACTCTACAACAAATTGGGAGTTATACAAAGTATAATTGGTGATGTACATATGATGTAACGTTACAGGTACAAGGGGAACTGAAGTACATGTGAACTAATACTTGCAGGTACCCAGGTACACATCTCGGGGGCTGAGGAACGGTACATCCAGGAGGGCAGCGTGCTGGCGGTGACCTGTACCGTCGCCCACCACCACATGAAGGGTCCTCACGCCGTGGTGTGGTACCAGGGCGCCCGCAGACTGGACTACGATGCTCCGAGAGGCGGAATAGCTCTCCAGGTCTGTACCTCATGTGTGTATGGCCGGTGTGTGTGTGTGTGTGTGTATGGCAGGTGTGTGTGTGTGTGTGTGTGTGTGTGTGTGTGTGTGTGTGTGTGTGTGTGTGTGTGTGTGTGTGTGTGTGTGTGTGTGTGTGTGTGTGTGTGTGTGTGTGTGTATGGCCGGTGTGTGTGTGCGTGTATGGCCGTGGTGTGTGTGTGTATGGCAGGTGTGTGTGTGTATGGCCGGTGTACTAACCTAGTTGTATTCACCTAGTTGTGCTTGCGGGGGTTGAGCTCTGGCTCTTTGGTCCCGCCTCTCAACCGTCAATCAACAGGTGTACAGGTTCCTGAGCCTATTGGGCTCTATCATATCTACACTTGAAACTGTGTATGGAGTCAGCCTCCACCACATCACTTCCTAATGCATTCCATTTGTCAACCACTCTGACACTAAAAAAGTTCTTTCTAATATCTCTGTGGCTCATTTGGGCACTCAGTTTCCACCTGTGTCCCCTAGTGCTTGTGCCCCTTGTGTTAAATAGCCTGTCTTTATCAACCCTGTCGATTCCCTTGAGAATCTTGAATGTGGTGATCATGCCCCCCCTAACTCTTCTGTCTTCCAGCGAAGTGAGGTTTAATTCCCGTAGTCTCTCCTCGTAGCTCATACCTCTCAGCTCGGGTACTAGTCTGGTGGCAAATCTTTGAACCTTTTCCAGTTTAGTCTTATCCTTGACTAGATATGGACTCCATGCTGGGGCTGCATACTCCAGGATTGGCCTGACATATGTGGTATACAAAGTTCTGAATGATTCTTTACACAAATTTCTGAATGCCGTTCGTATGTTGGCCAGCCTGACATATGCCGCTGATGTTATCCTCTTGATATGTGCTGCAGGAGACAGGTCTGGCGTGATATCAACTCCCAAGTCTTTTTCTTTCTCTGACTCCTGAAGAATTTCCTCTCCCAGATGATACCTTGTATTTGGCCTCCTGCTCCCTACACCTATCTTCATTATATTACATTTGGTTGGGTTAAACTCTAACAACCACTTGTTCGACCATTCCTTCAGTTTGTCTAGGTCTTCTTGAAGCCTCAAACAGTCCTCTTCTGTCTTAATCCTTCTCATAATTTTGGCATCGTCCGCAAACATTGAGAGAAATGAATCTATACCCTCCGGGAGATCATTTACATATATCAGAAACAAGATAGGACCGAGTACAGAGCCCTGTGGGACTCCACTGGTGACTTCACGCCAATCGGAGGTCTCACCCCTCACCGTAACTCTCTGCTTCCTATTGCTTAGGTACTCCCTTATCCACTGGAGCACCTTACCAGCTACACCTGCCTGTCTCTCCAGCTTATGTACCAGCCTCTTATGCGGTACTGTGTCAAAGGCTTTCCGACAATCCAAGAAAATGCAGTCCGCCCAGCCCTCTCTTTCTTGCTTAATCTGTGTTACCTGGTCATAGAATTCTATTAAGCCAGTCAGGCAAGATTTACCCTCCCTGAACCCATGTTGTCGATTTGTCACGAAGTCCCTTCTCTCCAGATGTGCTACCAGGTTTTTTCTCACGATCTTCTCCATCACCTTGCATGGTATACAAGTCAAGGACACTGGCCTGTAGTTCAGTGCCTCTTGCCTGTTGCCCTTTTTGTATATTGGGACCACATTCGCCGTCTTCCATATTTCTGGTAGGTCTCCCGTCTCCAGTGACCTACTATACACTATGGAGAGTGGCAAGCAAAGTGCCTCTGCACACTCTTTCAGTACCCATGGCGAGATCCCGTCTGGACCAACAGCCTTTCTAACATCCAGGTCCAGCAGGTGTCTCTTGACCTCCTCTCTCGTAATTTCAAACTCTTCCAAGGCCGCCTGGTTTACTTCCCTTTCTCCTAGCACAGTGACCTCACCTTGTTCTGTTGTGAAGACCTCTTGGAACCTCTTGTTGAGTTCATCACACACCTCTTTGTCATTCTCTGTATACCTGTCCTCGCCTGTTCTAATGTGTGTGTGTGTGTGTGTGTGTGTGTGTGTGTGTGTGTGTGTGTGTGTGTGTGTGTGTGTGTGTGTGTGTGTGTGTGTGTGTGTGTGTGTGTGTATGGCTGGTGTGTGTGTGTGTGTGTGTTGTCAGCCACCTATGTGTCCTGGGTCTTGGATGTACCACATATATGCAGGTGTGTCCTCTCTCACTGCCAAAGGTCCTCTTCCAGTTGCTGGTTCTCTCTAGGTCGTAGACGAAAGTTAACAAGCTCTTTATCTCCAGCAGAAGATGTTTGCTTCTGTACAATAAAATCATTAGTTTTTTCCCTCGGGCAGATAATGAATTGGTCACGCCAAATGTTAATTATTTACACGTGTAGTGTGACTGGAGTGCTCCTGTGGAGTACACCATGAAGACGAGGGCACCTCAGAGTATTGTAACGGGACTGCTCCTGTGGAACATCTGCTTCAGTAACACAATAGTTCCTACCCGAAGCCGGCGCCCATGTTAATGTCTGAACGCTGACGCCTCTGGAGACAACTTGATGAGAGGTTGTCTCCAGTTGTTTATATATTATCACATTGATAATATATAAAAGACTCTTGATCGTGAGGACGAGGGAGGCCAGCTATTGTTGCCTGAAGATGAAGACTATGTCAAGGAGACACCAAATATATCGTCCTCTCATAAGATCACACAAGAAAATGCTAAATATGCAACCCGCCAATTACCACAATGGTAGTGAAAATGTACAAATATGTTGCCTCCAAATGCACTAGGAAACTATGGCTTGTCTAAAGAGAGTAGCGCATCACCTAAATGTATAATACTCTGCAACAAACCAATTTTTTAATACAGCACGCACCACCAATTTCGAAATCCTTCCCCAATGTTATTGGAAGTTGTTGGACATAGTCCATGATAGTTAAAAGGAAAGTAAATGTGTTTGACCCCCATAACTTATACATTGAGAGTCTCTTCACACAGGAGAGATGTGTGTGTGTGTGT